GCTTGTGGCCTGGGAAAGCAGTCGAGAATGGCTCAAAGCCTTGGGACCCTGCACCCCTGTGGGAGACCTGGAAGAGATTTCTGGCTCCTGGCTTCAGATAGGCACAGCACCGGCCATTGCGATTACTTGGGGAATGAATCACCGAACGGGAGATCTTCCTCTCTGTCTCTCCTTCTCTCTGTATATCTGCCTTTCCAATAAAAATAAATAAATCTTTAAAAAAAAAATAAAGCTTGATGCTAGATTTGCTGCATATTGTAAATGTAAAAGGTCCTTATCTATTTTTTCTTTCATGGAGAATGAAAATGCTATTTGTTTTGGTGCAAAAGCATCTTAAAATGGATGTATAGTTTTTTTTTCATAACATGCATATTCCATGAATTTTTAAAGACCCTCATACTCGTGTCCTGCAGTGACTATTTGAGGCTCTCCACTGTGAAATGACTTTTTTTCCTAATTACTAAACTGTTAAAAACAATGGTGGATGAACTGTTAAATGACAACAGGCCACAGGGAAAGTTAATTGCCTCTAAGAGTCACTCTTGATCTCTCCACGCTGGCGAAGGGCCAGGCGTGGTGTGGTTGTGTGCCTACGCTCTGCTGGCTTCTTACAGCGCTGAGAGCCCTGGGCTGGAGCCTTCCGCAGGAAACACTATCTCCTGGTACCTCATGGCATCCCTTTGTTTTCTTGTATTTATTTCATGCCTGCTTCTATTTACAGAAGCAACAAGATTTGCTCCTTAAATAAATGCGTATAAGCACTTTGATTTAAAGATAATCGGAGATAACAGTATGGGTGGTACTGGCATACTTCAGAGGTTTGTTTTTTCCTCCCCTCAGGATGCTAGGAAGTGGCAGAAGTTTGGGAGGCACTGGTACAAGCCCCAGAAAGCATTGTCTTGTCTTGTTTTTACTGGTAAGACAGAATATTGGGTCACATCAACCTAGGGTCTCTGTGTTCAGGCCATTTGAGGTGTGGCTGACACCCAGAGCAGGGGGCTTCATGACAGAGTGGAAACACCATGCAAAGAAGATCATCTCTGGCTGGGATCCACACCACCCTTGCTGAGCTGGTAAGCGGCTAAACTGTGGGGCAGGAGACATGCTGAAGAGGGAATGATTCAAGGGTGAAGACTGCCCATCACGGTGTCATTTTCCGTGGGTTGATTTTCTCTGCGAAACATCCTGGTGCTGTTGAATCAAGCAGACAGGCACAGCTGGTCAGCAGGCTGCGTCCAGCCTTGAGTTTGTGAGGTCTGTCGATATGCTCGCTTGTCATGTGTGTTCTAAGACTCTGCCGAGATAACGACAGGTGTCCATGCAGTCACGAATATGCATCAGGCCCCACAGATCCTTGCTCCCAGAAGTCAGATCTTAGAAATTCAGAAACCAATAAATAGCATTGCCAGACTTGCTACTGGTAACAGCCAAGATGCAGTAAGTTTTTACCACCACAAAGACTCCGCCAGGACCTCCCCATGCTGGGCTTGGTGGCCACGCCCCTCATTCCCACTGTCTTTCACCCCTGCCAGTTATTCATCGTTTTCCATGTCTGTAATATTGGCATTTCAAGAAAGTGGCAGAAATGCAATTACATGGGGTTTGTGTAGGAGGGGTCTACCGTTTCTGTTTTCTACACTCAGCAGAATGCTCTGGGAGTTCATCAGAGGTGTGCTACAAAGCAGCAGCCAGCTCCTTCCTGGCTGAGTGCCATCCCACGATGCGGCTTCATCAGCTATCCACGGAGGGCCCTGTGGGCTGCTGCCAGCTTGGGCTTACCATGAATGAAGCTGTGGTGAATACTTCGCGTACATGGGCTTGCGAGAATGTTAGTTTTTTATTTTTCTTGGATGAATGTCAAAGACTGCATGTTTGTTTTTTAATTAGTTGCCATCATTTACAATCAAGATATTTCGTTTGAAAATCCATATTATGGTTTCTCCTTATTAACCAGGCGATGCAGAAAGATGAGGCCACAAGGTCACACGATGCTGTTCCAGGCAGAAACCTCAGTCCCCTGATCTGCCACTTGGCTCTCTTAACTTATTTCATTTACCTGTCTGATGGTGGGGTGGGGCAGAGAGAAAGGACACACACAGAGGGTTTTTAAAAAGTTCATGGAAAATATGAAAAAGCTTTCAAGTTTTTGTACCAAAATAATCTTATCTTTTAATTCATTTTAATTTATTTTCATTGGAAAGGCAGATTTAGAGAGAAGGGGAGACAGAGAGGAAGATCTTGAGTCCTATGGTCCGAAGCCAGGAGCCAGGAGCCTCTTCCAGGTCTGCCACACGTGGGTGCAGGATCCCAAGGTTTTGGGCCGTCATCAATTGCTTTTCCCAGGCCACAAGCAGGGAGCTGGGTGGGAAGTGGGGCCGCCAGGATTAGAACCAGTGCCTATATGGGATCCTGCAGCATTCAAGGAGAGGACTTTAACCACTACGCTATTGCACCGGGCCCTTTAATTTTTTTCTTCAAATATTTCTATTTATTTGAGAGGCAGAGAGAGCAAGCTGCCTCATTTGCTGTTGGGGCTGCACTGGGGTCAGAGTCAGGAGCAGGGAACGGAGTGAAGGTCTCCCATGTTGGTGGCAGGAGCCCGTGAGGACTTGAACTACCCCCGCCACCCAGGGCTTGCATTAGTAAGAAGCTGGAATTAGGAGCTAGAGCTGGGACTGTAGCCCACTGTCTAGGCTGTGGTCGTCTTAACAGTTGGGCTAAGTGCCTTCCCCTGCATTACCATTTAAAAATATATATTGTGTTTGGGCTTGGTGCAGTAGCCCAGTGGCTAAAATCCTCACCTTGCACGTACTGGGATCCCATAGGGGCGCTGGTTCATGTCTCAGCAGCCCTGCTTCCCATCCAGCTCCCTGCCTGTGGCCTGGGAAAGCAGTCGAGGACGGCCCAAAGCCTTGGGACCCTGCACCTGTGTGGGAGACCTGGAAGAAGCCCTGGCTTTGGATCAGCTCAGCTCTGGCTGTTATGTAGCCACTTGGGAGTGAATCAGTGGATGGAGGATCTTTCTCGCTGCTTCTCCTTCTCTCTGTAAATCTGCCCTCCTAATAAAAATCAATGAATCTAAAAAAAAAATCTTCTCTCTAATGAATTCAAGTACACACTTGGCAGAAAATGCTGGTGCCTGTGAGTGATGCAGCAGGAGCACTCTGACCAGGAATACTTTTGAGCCTTTTTTTTTTTTAAAGGTTTCTTTGTTTTTCTTGGAAAAGCAGATTTACAGAAAGAAGGAGAGATAGAGAAAGATCCTCCATTCACCTATTCACTCCTTAAGTGGCTGCAACAGCTGGAGCTAAGCCGAACAGGAGCCAGGAGCCAGGAGCTTCTTCTGGGTCTCCCACGTGGGTTTCAGGTCCCAAGGCTTTGGGCCGTCCTCGACTGCTTCACAAGCAGGGAGCTGGATGGGAAGTGGAGCAGCCAGGATAGGAATCAGCGCCCCTATGGGATCCCTGCAATTGAAAGGTGAGGATTTAGCCATCAGGCTATTGCATTGGGGCCCCCTTTGAGCCTTTTAAATGTATGCCTGCTGACTGTATTTGCTGCTCCAAAATGAATTGGGAAACCATTGTAAACAAGGACCCATAGGTAGGCTGCTCACAGACAAGCCCTCCAGAGCCCCACTTCTTCTTACAACTCTCTTTTGTGCTGCTTCAGAAAGAACCTGTTCAAATTTCCCTTCCTAGGGTGCCTGCTTCCACCTGGAGAAGACATCGCTCCACCCTCTGGGGCCTCCAAGCTTTGAAGGCAACCCCAGGGTGGGTGCCCACAGTCGCCGAAGCAATGGGGGCACTCAGATCCATCCCAGGAGCATCTGTAGCCATCTGGAGAGTGAACCAGAAGATTGAGGGTCTCTGTCTCTCCCTCTTTCTTTTTCACAGACATAACGTTTTTTTCTTTCTTTCTTTTTTTTTTTTTTTAAAGAACTTTTGTTCATTCAATGGGCCTTTTGGCTACACACATGCCCTGCGTACTCCTTTGCTCTTTATTCCATCTTGGCTTGGGCAGATGGCACCTTTGCGGACCCTCTACCACACCACACATTTCAGGGGCACTTCCAGGCACATGGTGCCTGCTGACCTCATTCCTTGTTGCAGCAGAGGATGGCCACAACCACAAATCAGCGGTCACAAGGCACAATAAACGAAGGCCCGCGTGCAGATCTGCGTGCACAGGAGTTTGTAGGGAGGCAAGGGAGACACAGGGCAGGCTGTGGTGGTGGCGCCCCACAAGGGGGCCCTTGTGTGACATGCTTATGGCACATCTTCTGGAAGACAGAGGGTGCATCCTAGAACCAGGGTTGGTAGTTCCGGGAGCCCCCGGTGCTGCTAGGCCGGCTGTATACTTTGAGGGTTCTTCTGCTAGTTCTTCACCTGACAGAAAACAAAAATAACAAGGCCTACAGCAGGGTCCTGCCCCTCAGTGCGTCCTCCAGCTGCTCCGTGGGCACAACTGGGGTTTCTTTCCTGGCAGTGTGGACACGGAGGAGGCAGCAAGCAGCCCTCCAGTCCTGGGCCAGGCATCCTTCAGCACGCAGTCTGGGAGTTGGTGGCCCTTCCACTGTGGGAGATGCCTCCTACCGCGAGAGGCTCCGATCAGGGCCAATGAGTGAGGGCTGCATGGATGGGAAAACTCCCATTCATGGTGGCGTCCAGTCCCGGCCATGTGCCTACCACCACGCAGCATAGGCGTGGGGCCGGAAATCTGAGCAAGGCATCTCGCGTGGCCGAGGGCACCCCCCCCCACCCCGACAGGCGGCGCCCTACCCCCACCCCGTGTCCCCGGGAGAACGTCCTGGGGCGCGCGGCCTTGAGTCCGGGGGTGGGGTCGCAGCAGGCTCGGCCCCCTCAGTTCCCGCGCTCGGCAGCCCAGGGCCCAGGAAGTGGCCCTCGCGGGGGCCCACGCCCCGCCCCCTGGCTCTAGCGCTCGGCACCTGCCGGCCCGGCGCGGGCGGGGACTGAGGGCGCACGGGGGAGCGCGCGGGCGGCCGGGTCGCCGGAGGTGAAGCGCCGGAGGATGGCGGCGCCGGGACGGGGGCCTCCGCCGCGACTGCTCGCGCTCACGTTGCTGCTGGCGCTGGGCCCCATCGCGGCAGCGGCCAAGCTCAACATACCCAAAGTGCTGTTACCCTTCACGCGGGCCACGCGCGTGAACTTCACCCTGGAGGCCTCTGAAGGTTGCTACCGCTGGTGAGAGGCTCTGGCGGCAGGCGGGGGAGGGAGGCGCTCGCGGGCCGGCTCGGCCCTCACACCGGGGAGGCCCGGCAGGCGCTCGCTGCAGGTGCGCCGGCGCGAGGAGGCCGACGGCGGCCAAGGGGCAGATCCCGCGTGGCCTTTGGGCGCCCGGCCTTCAGGCCTGGGTTGGCGCTGTGAGGGGAGGCAGCGGGGCCGGCAGGTACGCGGCGGAAAGCGCGCGCCTGGGCGGGCCTGATGGTGGCAGCGGCGGCGGCGGCGGCTGGCGCTGCTAGAGGAGGACCCGCTGGTCACGCGTGACCTGGCAGTGTGCGCGCCGGTCGCCAGCACTGCGCATGGCGCGGCCGGGCCTGGCCTGCAGCGGGAGGAGGCCTGGCGGCCGTGGCCCGCGTGTTTGTAGCTATCTTGAGCAGGGAGTCTTACGGCCTTGGCGCAAGAGGAACGCGCTGGGGTCTTACTTCCCCTTCTGTACAGAACGCAGGCAGTAGGTTGTGATGGCCTTGACGATCCCTTAGACCGGACACTCTTGTTTCGGCAGTGTCCCGAGACCTGGGACTCTTTCTCTCGGCAAGGGTCTGTTGTCAGCAGGGGCTTGTGGAGTGTGAAAGGGGACGAATCCTACCTGTTCAGCTGTCTTGAAAGGAACAAGCACTTTTTCTGAACGGTGTTTTGGTTGGAAATTCCTGTGATCCATTGCACAATAGAGAGGGGAGAGGCCTGTCTTGATGCACAGGGCAGTCGCTAGTCAGCTCCCTGCTCCATCCAGGCCTCATGGGGGAGCTGGGAGCCCAGTAAATTTAGCCTGTGGAACGTCAGCGACCAATAAAGTTTGAACCCTCTCTTCCCCCTCTTTCAACTACCTGAGGACCCTGCTGGGCCCCTGGAGGGGGCGGAGAGCTGCGGTGCAGCCCTTTGCTGTAGAATGGAGCTGGGAGCAGGGTGGAGGCTGTGGTGGGTGTGACCTAGGCCGCACCCAGACTTCACAGTTTGAGCCCCACCCTCAGCGTATCTGTTTGCTACCGCCTGTATCTTCTGTCCTAAGAAATATAAATGTATTTCAGAGTCCCAGTCTTCTGGAGTATCATTCTGCATGCACATAAAAAGGTTCCCCCGGCCCAGACCTGCTTTCTCTGACTTGTATTCCTTGTGTGTCAAAGTCAACCTTTTAAATAGAGCCAGGCCAAGTGAGCCCCTTGCATTTGGGGCTTTCACTTCGCAGGTTGATCTTGGGCAATCTGCATCCCCCCGCCCTGGCCTTGTGTGAGGCGGGAGGATCAGCTGCTAGTTAATACCCTGGGGGCTGCACATTGCTGATTTCTCTTGTTGAAGCTGTCTGTTGCCTTGATATATGAAACAAAAGAGGAAGCTGCTTGTTAAAGACAGCTGCCTCCCCAGTGAATCCCTTTGGATGGAATTGCGTGCTGTTTTCTCTGAGATCCTGTAGCTGTTCTGTTTTTCTAAACTAACAACCCTTTTTTTCCCCTCTAAGTGCATTTTTTTTTTCTTAAGAGGAGTTGATGATGGATGCTGGTGGATTTGAATTTGCTTGGTAGGAGGAAGGGAAAAAAAAAACAACCCTAATCTCTGATGCACCAGGGAAGTGCTAAGTACCTTATAACTTGTTTAATGTCTGATCCGGAACCTTTACTGCAAACGTGTGACTGTTCAACGTCTTCTGGGAGGTATCGGCTAGTCCTGATTTTCCCTTCGCTCCAGGAGGAAAACATTCTGTCAGTCAAGCACTGAAATGCCTTCTTTATTTTTAGACATGCTGTTTCTGGCCTAGTCATCTATTGCTTTAGTTTCAAGGGCTCTCCTCCGGAGGCCTTAGAGTCAGCATCTGTTCCCAAGCCACAGATCCACTGCCTAAAGCTGGGAGGAAACAGCTTTTTCATCTAAGGAGCTCAACGTCCAGCCTCCGAGGTGGCATTTTCGCCTGTCCTCTGAGTTGGTTGCCAAGCTGCAAGTGCATTGCGATCACCACATGCTTGAGCTTCAAGGACATTTTTTCTGTTTCTTGATCTTGCTGTTAATGCTTATTTTATTGTTTATTTGAAAGGTAGAGCTAGCGAGAGAGAGAGAGAGAGAGACACACATAGGGGTATTTTCTATCTATTGGTTATTGGTTCCCTCCGCAGTGGTCAGTAGGTCAGTATAGTCGCAGCTGGGCTCGTCTGAAGCCAGAGCTTCTTCTGGGTCTTCTACATGGGTGCAGGAGCCCAAACACTTGGGCCCTCCTCTAACTACCTTTCCAGGAACATTAGCAGGAAATTGGATGTGCAGCAACTGGGATTCAAACTTGTGTCCACCAGATGCTGGGTCTGTAGGCAGAGGCATAACTTCCTGTGTCATGGTGCCAGTCCCCCATTTCTTGATTTTTATGACATGGACTCATTGGACAGCTTTAGGGCCAGGGAGTCCCTGAAGGTCATGTAGTCTGACCTGCAAAGGGGAAGTGAGTGCCTCGCAGTGGTGTGGGGTAGGGATAAGGCCTGACTCAACCCTTCTGTGCCCTGGCCTGCGATACCGGGGCCGGCAGACTGATTGAATCTGTCCAGCTGGCAGAGCAGGTTGTGTTACAAGTTCCTGGTCCTTCAGGTGATTTTGTGATATTGAAAATGCTTCCTAAAGTGTATTTCATTGGTTCCTTTGATATGTCCCTCTTTCTCTACAACATACTGTTTTAACAGAAAGCTTGGAGAATAGGAAAAGAAAGATCCTCCCAGGATCCTTTGTAGCAGTCCCCATTTGGGGGTCCTTTGCCTTATTTTTTCCCTTTGTAAGTTGCGTCCTCCCATTGCTTCAGACCTGGTATTTGGGCCTCTTGGTCACTGCCCTCTGCCAACCACAGATGCTGTCAGAGGTCAAAGCCCACGTACTTCTCTGTGCCACTTCAAAACCTTTGGTGTCTTCACCATCCTGCTGGAGGGAGGTGGCATCTTTCATTTCCTGTTTGTCCTGCAGTTGGAGTCCCAGGCTGTTGTGGCTTCTGCAGGAGGCTGGTTGCAAAGAAGCAGAGCCTGGGATAGGATCCTGTCTCCTAACCCAGCTTTCAAGGTTTTCCCCTCCGACTGCTGGCCAGCCATTGGCTGACCCTGGAGGCACTGGGTATTGTGCAAGCTCCTGGCCTATGGGTGAAGTGCGCCTGTTGTAATAAACTGTGAACTGCAGCACATCCTTGCTGCACTGTGAAAGTGGGTGCACCTGCTCTTGGATGCCCAGGGGCCATCTCAGTCAAGGCAATGTGGGGTGGGGTGGGGATGGGGACTCCCAGGCAGATGCCCTTTGCTGGGCCAGGGAGGTCATGGGCCATTGCACCGGGACCTTGTCCTGGGAGTATACTGTGTTCTAGGCAGCTCCAGTGACCCTGAGGAAAGCAGACTGTCCCCCAGTCCATTTGTCTCCACTGACCTGTGGCTCTGGCAGTCAGGCCAACACCTGCTTGGATACAGACACCCTGCATCCCCCTACCAGTCCCAGCACTACAAAGCAGCTGTGAGTCAGTTCCTTTGAGCCCCCTGTGTGTGGTGAGGCTCAAGGAGCCCTCTGTGTCCGCAGGTGGGTCAGATTCCCACCCAGCCAGGCTACTGCTATGCTGAGGGGACATGGAGCCTCCAGCACAGAAGCCAGGGAAGCATTTGGACCTGAGGGAAACCAGCCTTCAAATGAAAACAGCTTATCAAGTGCAAACTTACTGACTGAAAAGCAAGATTAATTCAATTGGATATTACACACTTGCCACTTCTTTGAGCTCTACCTGTACTTCTGGGCTGTCCGTGTCAGGGGTTGTCCCCTGTCACCCCCATGGTGTGCACTGTTCATCCTCAAACACCTGAGATCAAATAACTGTCTCTCTTCTACCGCCAGAGGTCTCAGATTGTGGGTTTTGTCTGGTGTGTTCTGGGTATCCCGAACGGGTTACGGCCCAGAGCAGTGAAGACCTGCCCTGCCTGGGTGCCCTGATGAACAACAGAGTGGGTTTCACAAAGGAGGGCTGGACAGTCATTTAATAATCAGGTGACCAATGTGTATGACTCGTAGCACACTGTTTGAAGTCCTGAGGATGTGATGGTGACCAGGTAGGTGATACTCTGCTTCTGTGGAACTTAAAGATGATATCAAGAGTTAAACAGTGAAGATGAAAGAAGTGGATTCCTTTGACGCTGAAGTCAGTCTGTGAAGGAAGTAGATTTTGAGATGTGCATGGCAGGACGTGGCCTGTGCTTATGGGTAGAGTTTGCAGGGCAGGCCTCTTTGAAGTTAAACCCCGGGACCTGAGCAAGGTCTGGTTGGAATGCAGAGGCCCTGTGCTGAGTTGGAGTTGTTGGAAGAGCACAGATAGGGGGATGTGTTGAGGACAAGGGTGCAGTGAGGTCAGAGGCTGTCAGAGGCCACATGGGAGTCTGTGGCTTATGGTTAGGAGGCAGGAAGAGGGTGGTGGGGTCAGATGTCAGGCAGAGCAGGACAGGCCCTGTTCATTCATGCACCCACCCCTGGCTGCTGTAGCCATGCCTCCTGCAAGGCAGCATGGGACCTTGTTCCACTGCTGCCCTGGGAGGGAGCTGCTGCCCGGGACCTGGGGTGTTTATTTGATATTCTTTTGTGGGTACCCTGCTCTGCCTGGGTTTCTGCAGCCCCTTGGAGTGCTTTTTGTAATACAGGCTGTATCTGTGCGGTGTGAGGGGCTGGGCCCTGTAGGTATGTGGAGGGGACACTGCCTTATCCCCACTCATACCCCACTTCCCAGTTCTTTGCACAGCGCCCACTTCTGCTTTTCTTCTTTTCTGGGTTGACCTTGCAGTGGCCCAGCTTTTCCTGTCCTTGACCCTCTTCCTGCTGCCAGGCTGCGGAGTGTGGGGAGCAGCTCTTCTTCAAAGGCTCCCCCTGGGTTTTCTATCCCTTTCCGAGATTTGCTCTCAGTCTTTTTAAGTTATCTCAACCTATAGATTTTTTTTTCTAGTGTCAATGTATGCTGTCTACATGTTTTTCTTTTTAAG